TTGGATACTTTTTCTTCCATTTTTGGGATATGGGGTCTCAGAGTCAAGAACGGTAAATACTACAAAGGGCCCTGACTGATGTCTAGAGAGGATGATCAATTTGCTTTCTCTAGGTGCTCTGCTGCCCGCACTGAAGCCTCCAATCTGTGGGGTGGAAGTGGTAGTGAACCGCATTCTACTCTAACTCCTGCATAGGTTAAGGCCAACTAAAAGCCCCAAGAAGGTCTTTTTGGAAGATTTGACAAAGCTATAACCTATATCTTTCCAAAATAATTTATAACAATGTTTAACAGCACTGGCTGGGTGTGGTGGCTCACGCCTGTAATCCTAGCACTCTGGGAAGCCAAGGAGGGAGGATTATTTGAGTTCAGGAGTTTGAGACCACCTGGGCAAGAGTGAGATCCCATCTCTACTAAAAACAGAAAAAATTAACCAGGCATCGTGGTGAGTGTCTGTATTCCCAACTATTTGCTAAGGCAGGAGGATTGCTTGAGCCCAGGAGTTTGAGGTTGCTGTGAGCTAGGCTGACATCACGGCACCGTAGCTTGGGGAAACAAAATTTAACTCTGTCTCAAAAACACAAGTATTTAACGGCACTTGGGCATTTTCTTCAGCAAAATATGAACAGCAAAAACGTGAACTACACACATTACATATATTGTATTTAGTTCTCCATCATTTCTCAAAAAACACCAGCAATAATTTGATAATCACATCCAAAAGTTCTTTTAGCTCTCTTTAGCCTCAACATTTGGCTGTATTATCTCTAGCCCTTAACTTTATATAACCAAAACTAATTATTTAAATTCTATTTATTTTCTTCTATAAGGTGGAGATTATAGTACCCATATCATGGGGTTGAAAGGACTAATGCAGATAAAATAATTAGAATAACTGCATATAAAACTCACTCAATATAAATAAGAAACATAAGTAATTATCATTATTCCTGAGCATGTGATTTGCCCAAGTTTTAAGTTTAATTACAGCAACAAGACACAAAATAATTCCATTTATCTTGACGTTCAATTGCTAGTATTTCTGTTTTTTGCTTTTCTGTCTGAAAATCATTCTTCCAGGGAATATAGCATCCTTTGAGAGAAGACTCTCTGGACTTGGGCACATGGGATCTGGTGAGGCACCACTGACTCACTTGGGAGCCACCATCTGGCTGTAGCAGTGTCTGTAGTTACAGCCTTTCAGAGTTGTATCTATTCTTAGACTTTGCCAAGCTCAGGAAAGGGCCCAGATAGACAATTCAAACTTACAAGGCTAGGAGTCTGGAATCAGACTCTAATTAATTAAAATGACATGGCAAACATTACGGAAAAATGTTCGGGGAAGTAAGGGCATATAGTAATGTAGATTTTTACGTGATTAGTAGCCTTGGCATAATCCTAGATGTTCACTAACTCCATCTGCCAGAGGCTGGATGTCTGACACTGCATCCCTCTCTAATGCTAACATTATTCACATTTGATTGCAAGGCAAGATCACTGCCTTGGCAATGTTGTCACTAGCAGGCTAGATGAAAGCAACTATAAGTAATCCTGTTAAAATATTTCAAAACAGTTTAGGGCCTTTTCATTCCTTTGTTGTGTGACACTGTGACATGGAGAATTAATTATTTATATATCAATGAGAAGAGGCAGAAATTGGACTTATGGTCTGAGGTCCTCTTACACTAATTGACCAAATTTCATCCGAGGCATTCTGGACAAATCCCAACAAGAAATAAAACATTTCCCTTTCCTATTATAGAAATATATAATTTTATCAGGTGGCCACTGAGTGCTATCAACTACAAATTAAAAAAAAAATCCAGGAGAGTAAACCTATGGCAAGGTTAGCTGCTGGGGTAAAACTCGCAGTGAGTCAGGTAAGAGTAGTTAGAATAGCAGCACACCATACATTTCTTTGACTGTAACCTATAGCAAAACATAGCAGTTATTAAAGCAACATGGAAAATTATGCCCAATGGTCTACTGAAAAGCTGGCTTGTGAGTTCCTGAGGGTTCCCTGAAATTTATGATTTTTTTTTAATAAGAAGGAATATATTGAGCAAAGAAATGCTGAGCATGGCAAACAAAAAGAACACAAAACAATTAACTAGCTTTTAAATGTCAAATGGGAATCTCCAAAAAAAAAAGCAATGTGACAGAATCTGCTTGGAGATTACAGGTAAGGTAGGTTGTTACTGGAGACACACACACACACACACAAACACACACGTACATATTCTTTTAGAGCAGTGGTTCTCAACCTTCCTAATCCCATGAACCTTTAATGCAGTCCAAAGGGATTGCAACCCACAGGTTGAGAACTGCTGTTTTAGAGGCCATGTGATTGTATATTTATCTTAGATAGTGCTTTTTGTATCAGCACATCCCACATGTGTTGAGTTTTAAAAATATAAATGCTTGATCCCTTATGAAGGCATGTACTGTTTTTCTAATACTAGGGATGGGTGACATCAAATCATTTACAATATCCTTGTTTCTCCTATGACCATTGCATAAAAGCATGTATCTTGAACACACCTAGTTCCTCATGTTTAACAGTTTGTTCTAGTCCCTTAGGTGGTTCTATTGTATTTCCAATTCTCTTCTCCCTTGCTTATTCCACTACAGACTCTGAAAAACTAAATGTTTGTTTTCCCAGTCTGTTAGTGGCTGTATGTCCTAAGATTAGTCATAAGATTAGTAAACCCCTTAAGTAGAATATTATAAGCCTTTTGTTTGTCCAATAAAAGGAGAGAGCTGAAGATGGTACTACTCCTTTTCCACTTTCCCTTCCTTTTTCTGACTGAAATGCGGTACTCAAAGTTGCAGCAACCATCTTGTTATCAGGAAGGAAAGACCAAGAATCAGAGAGGTGCTAGAATAAGTATTATTGAACCATAGGCCAATACCAGCAGATTTCTTGTATTAGAAAAACAAACACCTCTTTAAGCCACTTATAAATTAAGAAATATATAACTTACTGCCAAGCTAAATCCTGTTTTCAGCCTTTAACATTTTAAATTCTATTGTCATATTCTTGACTCAAAAACTTTTCTTCTTTCAACTCCTTCAAACTCTCATTTTTATTCCACCTGCTGTAACTTTAATTTGGTAATCTCTTTATTTTCTTCTGGTAGAACAGGTCCCTTTCGGGGTCCTCAGCATGGATTGTGTGCTTGATCACCTGAACTACTCTTTGAACAGAAACTTCAACACCCTTGAGTACTCATCTTTCACTGTTAAGTGCCCTAAAACTCAGTCTAACCTTGCAGCAATTCCACAATTCATCCTTTAACAGGAAAACAAAACAAATATAAAGATTGTTCCCTGATCCTAAAACCAGACAAAGACACAATAAAAGAAAACTATAAGCTAATATTCTTGATGAACACAGGTGCCAAAATCCTCAACAAAATATTAGCAAACAAAATTCAGTAACATATTAAGAAGATCATTCATCATAATCAAGTGGGATTCATCCCAGGGATGCAAGGATGTTTTAACATATATGCAAATCAGGAAACATGATCCATCAATAGAATCCAGGAAAAAACTATTTGATCATCTCAACAGATGCTAAAAAAGCATCTAATAAAATTCAACATTGCTTTGTGATAAAAACCCTTAACAAATTTGGTATAGAAGGAATATACCTCAATATGATATAGGCTATCCATGACAATTCCAGTTTGTCATACTGAATGGGGAAAAACTGAAAGCCTTTCAGTAAGATCTAGAATAAGATAAGCACGCCTACTTTCACCACTTGTATTCAACATAGTACTGGAAGTCTTAGCCAGAGCAATTAGGTAAGAGAAAGAAATAAAGGGCATCCAAATTGGAAATGAAGAAGTCAAATTATCCTTGTTGGCAGATGACACAATCTTATACTTAGAAACCCCTAAAGATTCCAAAAAATTCTTGGTATTGATAAACTCCGTAAGGTTGTA